GTAAAAACCATGCAGATTTATGACAATGTTGTTTGAGTACCTGAAAGACAGCCATTTCAGGTCTCTCCCACAACAGAAAACTAACTAGATCTTAAGACAGTTCCAACTACATAGAAAAACTTTTATTTATATATATATGAAAATGTAACAACCACAATAGAATGAATCCCATGTCCATAAAGCTACTGTGCCTGAAGTACCAGAAAAAGTCACTGAATGTCAATGACCAAAGAAGCAAGCAATGCAAGGGGACAAGAGCTGTTGAGCAAAAAAGCAGTCTTGCACAGGCAGTTTCTGTGGCCGTCATTTTAGAAGACTGAGATCATACTGCATTCCTGTGTTTAAGCAGATGAAAATATGTGGAATCACAATTCAGAGAAGACACATGCCAGTGTCTTGTATAACTGCAGGGGTTTTTTGTTGGGTTGTTTATGGCTCACATAACCCACTTTGTTTTGTAGTGCTGAAAAGGAAGACGAGCTAAATGTTAACATCTGTCTTCAGCTGATGCTGTCTTACTTTTCTCCTACAGTTTGTTTACAACTAATTGCTGAGTCACCAGGCAGCTGATCGATTTAGAGTCTTTGGAAATGAAGTGCCAGACATAAATTTCTTGATCACTCTAAAAATTACATGGCCTGCGAGGCCACTGGCACATCTGCGCTGGTTGGAATGCTGTGGCAGTCCACCACTGGAACTGAAAAGGACAGTCTCAATCCACTCTTAATTTCCATCCGCAGAGCTGTGAGTTCAACTGCCTTCATCTGAGGAACAGTAGTAACACTTAAACCACCACAGTCGTTTTGGCAACAAACAACTGTGTACAACATAAATTGGCTCTTCAGTACTAGCTATATTAGAGTACTTGAAAGGCTCATAGGAGATCTAAATAAAAGCAAAACCAACTTACCACTACTGGCATATTTAATTCACTTCAAGAACGATCGTTGCAGTAGTTTTAATTAGCTTCCTGTAGCAACTCTGAATAAAAGCTACAGGAATTTAAAAAAAACAAAAAACCAAACTTGTGAGCTGTTTTCCTTCTCTATCTCACTCTTCCCATATTTGTAACTTAAGCAGCTAAAACAACTTCACAGGTGACACACATCCATTCTGAATTTCACATGTCATGCAACTGAAATGCAAAAGCACAGCACAGGCCATTATACTGAGGGTATTTAATTGTAAAAGTTTAATCAGTATATGATCAATGTACCAAATCAATTGTTTGCTGCCAACTCTACCACTTTTAACTCTTGTCATTTTTAGAGATGCACCAGAATTGGCCACTACTATGCTGAATTCTGCACTACCATTTTGCATCAGCCCAAATGACAAACCTCCTCTTACTTCCCCTGAATCTGCTTAGGTAATCTCCTGTCCTCTGGTTTAATGAGCTGTCACTCACCTAAATACTCAAGAAAAATCAGAAGTTTTGCTTATCATCTACAGCCTAATGCTTCCAACACTGTCATTATAGCTGCAATGTATTTCTTAAGATTCATTTGTAGTACAGCTGCTACTGCAGTAGTCAAAAAAAGCTTCCCAAGTTTAAATGTAGGTTTAAAAAAAGATAAAATCACATAGCAGTTGCATCCAGTGTATTTAACAACCTCACGTGTAATGCAGCTGTAGTGTGTAATTATACTCTAGCAACAGATAATTTGGTTCATAGGTATGATGTACAATTATGCAGGTATCCTTACAATAGCACGTGAAGCGACAGCTGTATCATCAAACTTATTAGAGAAGGCATTTTATTCAGGTGTGAGGAAAACAACAAGAAAGATGCAGAATACACAGGCACAATAGTTAACTATGTTAGTTACCTCATCCTGACAACAGTTTGATGAAAGTATGCTACTTATAGCCACACTATGCCGAAGAAGCACAGAATACACTGGCAAAGGGGCTTCGAACAGCAATTCCTGTCGGCATATTGTTAGGCCTGCAGTATTCGTAAGCATTATTTTTTACAGAGCAGCCAATGACAAATAGAATGGAGCAAGTTTTTAAAAAGTGGCAAGCAAATGGGTGAGGAAGGGAAGAGGCCACAGAGGCAACCCAAAGCGTCTGGGAAAGCAGTAGTCAAAAAAAAAAAAAAACCAACCCCAAACCAATCACCAAACCCAGTCCCTGTAAATTAGAAGGCAAGCACCAGGGCTTTCAATTTTCCCTTGGCAGCACGTCTCGGCACTTTAACAGTTCGCTACAGCACCTCCAGCCGGGTCTGGAAAGGGCATCCTTGTGGCCCGGGCTGAAGGTACCTCACAGCAGCAGTCCCGGCCTCACCGCAAAACTGGAGGGTGGCAGGCGGCGGGCCTCGCTGCTGCGGGGACGCGAGTCAGGGGCACTGCCCAGGTACAAGTTTTGCAGTGGCAGCGCCTTCTC